GAGAGAGAGAGAGAGAGAGAGAGAGAGAGAGAGAGAGAGAGAGAGAGAGAGAGAGAGAGAGAGAGAGAGAGAGAGAGACTTTAGGCTGAGTACGATCCTTGTTATTTTCAGCATGTTTCTTTGCTGAAATGGCTGGGATGTGCTGCCCTGATTTGTGTTTTCGGCAGAAAACAGAAAACACACTTCTGTTCATCCAAAGGTTTCTAGAAAATGGCAAAAAGGTGAAAAGAAGAGAGGAGGCGTTTCGTTTTTTCTTTTTTTTTCTTCTTTTTGGTGTTATTTTCAGTGGGGCTTTAATTAAAGGACTGTAGGGTCAGTCAGTTATTTTGTCTGAAAGGTTGGGTTCAAATTTAAGGACTGCAGTGTCAGTCAGTTATTTTGTCTGAAAGGTTGTATTGCAGGCAGCTGTTTCATAGCATCTGTTAGATCAACTTAGATGTGAATGATGCAGAGAAAGAAGATTAGTCTGTGGCCAAATCAAGAAATGATCCAACTCGAAAAGAAAAGAAAAGAAAAGAGAAGAAAAGAAACTGATAAGAAAAGCAGCATGCCCTCTTGAAACGGATGAGATGCGCAAATTGAGAAATGGTGCAAGATAGAGGAAAGAAAGTTCGGGGAGAATACGAGGTGTGGCAGGGCTCTGAGAAGTGGAATTGACATGCATCCGTGCCCCGTGGGAAAATACGATCTCGTAGTGTTTTGTACCTTTCTTTTTCGCTTCCGTCCTTGTGTGCATCTTTCCCTCTCCTCCCTCCCCCCCCCCTAGGTGCTCTCTTTTGCCCTATTCACCATGTTGGTTGCTTGACAGTGGAGGTGCAATTTGTCTTCTATGTTACGTGTTGTGCTTTGTACGTATCGTTTTCGTTGTCGTACCATCGATTATCGACACAGGTTACTTTACCAAAGGGCACAGGCCAAGAAGTAAGGGTGGCGGTTCTCACGCAAGGTATGTTGAGCCTTTAATCTGACTGGCGTTTTTTTGATGCATGAGCTGGGACATCCCAAAAGAGTCAAAAAGGCTGTTTTGTCCAGGTGTATGAGGGCTAGTCGAGCTGAAATAAATGTGTGGCCAATGAACTTCCTGGGGATTTGGTTTTCTTTGACGGGTTATGAGTCTCATTCTTGAGGACGCATCTTGGTGTTGTGTTGTTGTGCCTTGTGCCCCCCCCCCCCCACCATAATGGCTGAGAGATGACGAGCGAGTCGGTTTTGAACATGGCCTTTGTACAAATTTTTTTTGTTGTTTGGAAGTTGCAACCGGGAACCTTTTGATTATTCATGTGTCATCATCTCCTTTCTCTTCCTCTCTCTCTCTCTCTCTCTCTCTCTCTCTCTCTCTCTCTCTCTCTCTCTCNTCTTCTTTATCGTTTTCTTTATTTTATGCTCTTCTTTACCTTCTTATCCTCTACTCTTCTTATCCACTTCCACTTTTTATCCTCGTTCTATCTTCTTCTTCTTCTTATCCTCTTCTTATCCGTGACAACCGCGTTTGTTCCTCCTCTTCTTTCTCCTCTTCTTTCTCCTCTCCTTTCTCCTCTCCTTTTATCCTCTTCTTTTGCTCTTCTTCTTCTTCTTCTTCTTCTTCTTCTTCTTCTTGTCTGCTTATCCTCTTCTTATCTTCTGATTCCTCGTCTGTTTGTTCTTCTTGTCTTCTTATCCTCTTCTTATCTTCTGATTCCTCATCTGTTTGTTCTTCTTGTCTTCTTATCCTCTTCTTATCCTTTTCTTATCTTCTTATCCTCTCTTCTTACATCTCTCTTCTTATCCTCTTCTTATCCTCTTCTTTCTTATCCTCTTCTTATCCTCTTCTTATTTTATTCTTCTCCTCTTCTTCCTCTTCTCCCCTCTTCTGTGTGCAGATCACTGTTCTGGAAAAAGAATGATTATGAAAATCTGTGCTTATGTTTTGGTGGCCTCCTCTGGCCTGCAGTGTCCCGCTTCGCTGAAGCCCTCCCAGCCGTGCCCGAGGCGACAGCAAGCTTCTGCCAACCATATGTTTACTTTGCCCTGTTTAATCTTTGCTGGCGCATGGTTAAAGCGCAAGGTAAAGTAAAAACATGGTTAAAGCGCAAGGTAAAGTAAAAACATGGTTAAAACGCAAGGTAAAGTAAAAACATGGTTAAAGCGCAAGGTAAAGTAAAAACATGGTTAAAGCGCATGGTTACTTTGCCCTGCGTTTGCGACAGGCATGCAGGAAACAAGCCAGCCACAATTTCACTTTACCTTGCGCTGTAACCATGCGCCAGCAAAGATTCCTATGCGAACCACAGTTTTTACTTCTGCGAACGACATTTTTACTACACCAATGAAACGCCATGCTTATGGCGTGACCTGTTTCCTGCCCCCCGCCTCCCCCCACCCCCCTTCCTTTTTGCTGTTGCTGTTGTTGTTGTTGTTGTTGTTGTTGTTGTTGTTGTTGTTGTTGTTGTTGTTGTCGTTGTTATCATTGTCGAAGATGACGGCAAAAGCTTCTGCAAGCACGTTGACCCTCGCTGCACCGCTGAACGTTTTGGGTTTTTGTTGAGTACGGTGTCCCTGCACACACACACACACACACACACACACATGCATACGCTGGCTTTTGCTGGTGCTTGGGTTTCTGTTGTTTATAGCAAATGTTGTTTTGGCGGTTTGCAAGTTGTGTATGTGTGAAGGTGGATTTTTTGGAAAAGAAAAAAAAAAAGTTGGATTCTTTGGTTTTCTTGGAGGTGGTGTGCGGGCAGGCTCAGAGGGGGTCTGTGCTCTGGGTGAAATTCCCATGGGCCGTTTTTCTGGGAGCACATGATACGAACGAGGATGGTCAGGTGAAGGCCCTGGTGTCGCTCGAGGAGAGGATTCAACCAGGTGCAGGCAGGCCCTGGTCTGTCCGTGGGCGTGTACTGTGCTCTTGGCTGTCGTGTTATTATTATTATTATTATTATTATTATTATTTTTGTTGTCTATTATGAATGGGCTGGGAGCGTCCATGGTGCTTTCTGTGGTGTGCTGGCAGGCTCAGAGGGGGTCTGTGCTCTGGGTGAAATTCCCATTGGCCGTTTTTCTGGGAGCACATGATACGATCGAGGATGGTCAGGTGAAGGCCCTGGTGTCGCGCGAGGAGAGGATTCAACCAGGTGCAGGCAGGCCCTGGTCTGTCCGTGGGCGTGTACTGTGCTCTTGGCTGTCGTGTTATGTCTATTATTATTATTATTATTATTATTATTATTATTTTTGTTATGTCTGTTATGAATGGGCTGGGAGCATCCATGGTGCTTTCTGTGGTAAGTCGTCAGGTCGGGTAGATGCATATGCGTATCGCAGGTGTGCTTTTTTTAGGGATGCAGAGCTGTGTTCCGACTCCCCTTTTGGCCTCCTCTCCCTCTCTCTCTGCCCCCTCTTACTGTGAATGGACTGGTTTGGTGGGTTTTGCGGATTGGCAGCGACGGTCGAGGAGGTACCTTGAGACGCAGAAGGTGCGGGTGAGGAAGCAAGAGTATGACCCAAGGACCGCATTGAGTGTGATGAAGCAGTCTGCATCGACTAAGTTCGTGGAATCTGCTGAAGCTCATTTCAGACTGAACATAGATCCCAAGTATTCCGATCAGCAGCTTAGGGCAACGGTATGTATCCTTATCTTGTTTGGATATATGGTCGGAACTTGGAACCTTATCCTGATTGGATATATGGTTGGGACTTGGAACCTTATCCTGTTTGGATATATGGTTGGGACTTGGAACCTTATCCTGTTTGGATATATGGTTGGGACTTGG